TTTTTTTTTTTTTTTTTTTTTTTTTTTTTTTTTGAAGTGATAATCGATAAAATGTTTAGCGGTAGCGATCAAAAAAGGAAATTAAATTTTTAACATATGTTTGTCGTTAGCATTTGTTTTTTCCTGTATTAAAACTTTTTTTTTTTCTTCTGCTAAACATCAAGAAAAAGTTTTAATTCTTGAGAAATTATCAGTGCCATTAGTATAACATACAATTTTTGTTTTGTTTCAGTATCTTTAAAACATTTTTTTCGTTTTTTGAATACAATAAGCAACTGCTTGTGTCTTTTAGACTTATGTCGGCTTGGACAGGTACCATTTTTGGAGGAAAAAACTGGAAAAATTCGAATATGTTCATCGTCTTCACAATGTCCCACCGGTTACTACTGCAGTGAACGGGATATTTGTTGCGGTGAACCGGGCGACTGTCCAAATGGATTCACAGTTGCAAAGAACACCGAAGGTTTACATTTCAAATTCTTTTTCAATAAAAGTTTTAAGTTTTCCAGCAATAGAAAAATTGACTTTATTGAATTTTTGTAATGTGATCTTTGTGCGGCTACAAAAGCGAAGAATATCGTTGATGATGTTCAGGTCAAATAGCAGTTTGTTCACTGGCAGAGTTTCCAAAGTGTCCGGAAAAGTCGTCTTGTTATGCATCTTCAACAGTATCTCAGCACTTATGTTGTAATGGAGAATCATATCAATGTCCAGGAAAAGCTGTTCCGTATCCAAATGCGAAGCGTCCAAAAAAATGTTCAATAAATAAATTTACTGATACATGTCCGTCACCCAGTTACTGTGTATCAAGGTAAATTACCCAGTAAATATTTACCGGTTATTTAATTACCGATCGCTATCGTCAGAATATGTAATACGTAAATTACAGTAATTCCTATGGAACAGGTATTTGTTGTACATCTAGACGTTATCAACAAGTCAGAAATTTTTGTCCACCTGGATGGTTAATGATGGGCAATTCAGTTACGGTAATCTGTTTTAGTTCATCAACAATTACCTTAAAACAGAAATAAATTTTTTGTTAAAGTGAATTCAGAATTTTCAAAATTGAATAAAGCAGTTTTTCAAAGATAAAGTATCAGTAATTGTTGCTAAACTTGTATTATTTGTGTTTGAGAAAAAAAATCATAAAAAATACTGTGTGTGTGGGTTTGTGTGGTAAAAATAAATAATAAAAAAATTTGTCTTTTATAGTTCTATAATAAAGAGTAAGAAAAAAAAAAAGGTAGTGTTCGATGAGTGGAACAAAAGTCGCAAAAATATTTGTTTAGTATTGCAGTCCAGCAACACAGACGTCATGTATCGGAGCCTCATCGTGTTTACCCTCAACTTTTATGCCTCAACAATACGTTTGTTGCATTCCAGGTTAGAAACTTAACTTTTAATAAGCCAAGTAATCGTTTTTTTTCTTCTGCTTTCAGTTTTATAAACGATTCAATGCATTTGATTTTTTTAGCGAAAAAAAAAAAAGGTAACGTCTAAAACTAACGGTTGATACTGTAAAACTTTTTCTTATATCTGTTCAGTAAAAAATCTGCTCACAGAATTTTTTTTCATTATTTGACTTGAAAATGGAACAGATTTATCAGGTTATCATAGTTTTTTATATTTGATTTCTGATAGTTGAATTAAAGTTCTCGATTTTGTCAACAGCAAGTAACTGAAACTATATGATACATGTCTAGACGACAGTTTGAAACTTGAAGTTTTTGAATACTTTTCAAGATTTTTTTGCTTTTTTACAGTAATCGCCTAACAGATGCTATATAATTAACTGCTTATCTAGGAAAGTATTTTATCATACATTGAAAATTCCAGAAAAAATAATTTTAAAAATTTTTAAATAAAATTGCAGATCTTTCTTGGTCTTTAAAGATGTGTCAAATTTCTTAATAAGAATTGTGGCTTTAAAATCTACTTATTTTATCTATAGCTTAAAGTTTTTAACATTTATTCAATTTAAAATTTTTTCAACTATGTTTGAAGTAATTTTACAAGCTTTAAAAGCTGTATGAGTGAAATAGCATATGATGAAGCGCAGATAGACATTTCTGAATTGTGCAGAAATAAATAGATGATAGCCACATCACTACAGACTTTTTGTCATTCATTCTCAATTTGAAACTCATCTTAAGAACATTAATTTTTCCTTAGCTCTTTTTGTTTTCCTTTTTTTCCTCTTTTTTGCTGTTGATCAAACATTGAGAAATATTATCAAGAATGAAATTTTTTTTTGTTAATGTAGATACCTGAACTATTGCTTCATAAAACATAATGATCTTTTAGCTTCAGAAGCTTTTCTACTGCTATAAAAATTCTTGAAGCACTGATATAAACTACAAAGTTCGTATATTTATTTTGATAAAAAATTAGTACAA